AAAAAAGGCTTAATTTATTCAGGAAAAAAGATTGGTGATATGACCACGAAAAGAAGTGGACAATTTGGAAACAAAACTCCTAAGAAAGGTAGCACGTTTTGTTCGAAATGGCAACGTTAAAAAACGGCGGCGACTTAGCTCAGTACGCCAATTAAAGGGTTAAATAACACCATTTTTTTAAAAAACCTACAATTATTTATACCTCAATTCTCAGGTGACCGATAACTTTAGGATAGCGCATTCCCCCGTTAATTTAATCAAAGGACTCATTTTGATGTAATTCGATGACATATGGCTGTAAAACATGTTCAGTTCCTGAAACCAGGTTTAATAGCTTCTATCACTCGTAACGCTAACATGGAAAAAAGACAAATTAGATTTGATCTGCATCTTTTTCTAAGTGGAAAATCTGTGTGCTGTTGTCATGAAGTGTTGAAACTCTCATTATTGAGGAGGATTTGACGAATCAAAATCTCTACCTCACATCATTTGATCTAGAGAACATAAAGAACGGCGAGAAGAACGGGGACGCAGGTGGTGGTGTTCGAATTCGGCCAGCAGATTATGAACCTTTCGAAAGGACACAGGTTGACATGTATGTAATATTGATGTCAAGCTAAAATTGTAACGTTTGGGCTATTTGTAAGCATAAGCAGCAAAAGACGAGCTACAATTCAGTTTACTATGAATTACTATGGGATTTTTAGCATCTATCTCTAAAAATTGGCCTTTGGCATTTGTAGAGGAGGAAGAATGCTGTTAAATCTTTTGCGTTATTCGGATTACCTGTGTTCAGATTGCTGTTCGTCATCATCGCTGTTGGAGCAACAATACTTGTATGTTTAATTGTGCCAGCGGCAATATACGTCGTGAAAAATCGGAAAACCGATATGAAGGCTAAAATGCCAAAAAAGAAAGGTCGTAAATCTGAGGGAGGAAAAACGCCGACGAGTGCATCTGCCGGGAAGAAGTAAGCCGACGTGTGACAAAGCTTTCATTCAACTCTTGCGATAAATCTTTCTTAGAGTAACGTCATATACGTGCAGAACTCTAATAAATATTCCAAAATGTAGCGTTTTTTGAAGATAAGATTCGAGAATGTTTGATTTTTACTCAGTAGCGATTGATACGCGGACACTAAATTTTTAAATTACGGAGTGTCTTTGTCGTAAGCTAATTTCAAAGCTATTAACAACAAATGCCAACCTTCTGCTCAACATGGAAGCTCAAAAATTTCAGCTTTAACGTTAAGGATTACTACATATCAGCAAGTAGAGAACGATTAATGAGTAATTTAACCACAACACATTTGGTCGCATTTAGTAAAAAGGTAAAAGTTGAAGTGTCTTCCCTGATATTGTTAAATTTTCTTCGGAAAAGTTCCTTACATTTGCTCTATTTATTTCATTTATGACCTTTGCTACCGAAAAGCTTCTATGCTGCTACAGAAACTATTCCCAATTTCTAATTATAGATGGAGCAAATCACTCTAGGATTATTTACCAATGGAACCAGTTTGGAATTGTCATAAAGCTATTTTATTATCTGTTAAACAACTGGATTGAGTTGCAACCTTTCATTTCTTTTCCACAGTTTGAATAGGTATACCAAGTATAGATGTGTATTGACAAAGGTTGATAGTTGTAGGTAAAGTAATTAAGAAGCACGTAGTAAAAGTATCCTTGAAAATGTTGGCTGCGTCTGCATTGAAGCTTATTACTCACTTCTTTCGAGGTTTTCCCCAAAATTATGTTTAACGCATCTTTGTTCTTCGTTCTTTTTCATCAAAATTTGGAAATTGGCTTTAGGTAACCTGCGTAGGCAATAGTCCACATTGAATGCCTAAAAATACGTACTCTCAACCTCTCTCACTCTAATGTTATGTGATTATAAGGTAGAGAGCAACGTTAAGGGTTCGGCGAGTTTTGCTGAAACTTGACATTCCGATTAAGCGCAAAAATTTTTTCCTTAAGGCCTTCCTATAAGTTACGTGGTAGGCCCTGAAACCCAGAGGCTAGTGGTTTGTGAGGATCCACCTTTCTTTTAACTTGAATGCACGGTTAATGTATCAGTTTTCGAATAGCTGTGACTATATAATTTATGTTCGTAAAATAAAAGCCCCGCGCTTTGATCTTGGTGAGCTTTAGTTAAATTTATAGTTTTTCTCCTTAGAATTTCCCCCCTCCCCATGGTCTACCGCCTCATTGTGGCACTGTACCACTTGTTGTGAACAGCAAGGTACAGAGAAGGTTTAATTTTCAGCAGAGACTCCCAATCTGAGAAGGAGTTCGACGCTTCCTGCTTCCCGGATGCTCAGTTTAGAGTAGGCATTGCTAGAAGCATCAGGGAATCACTGAACTAACCGGTTTGGTTCAGTCGTGGTGGTTCCCTGATCCGAATAGGTCAGCGATTGCCTTAGTGAAAGCTTGGCAGGCCCTGGCAAGGCTGCCAAACTTGGGAGAAAAGTCAATTGCTTCTACAACATTAAAAAGAGAAAAGGCGCTGCACACTCGATCATATCTCCGGCATAACATCAAGACCTTTGTAATTTGCGAAGAATGCCATGGAAACTGTCTCATGCTCTGTACCTACAACAACGCCGACATCCACGCCATTCTCGAAGCCCCAGGGCGCATCTCAGGAAGACGGGCGTGAGGCAGTTAAGTGATAGTACACTCATCATTCGTTGTGATTGAGTTCCATTACGGAACGTAGAAGGTGTACAATTTGTCATACATCCATCTATGCTTGATATTGTCAAGTCGTAGAGATTTAACAACCTCGCGTGACTGTGCTTCAAACACCATTCGTTGCATCAAAAAATCATCACTCTCATCAGTTGCTATTCTCCAGCATCAGTGGCTAGTGACACAAAACTAAGTACTTTTCATGGGAATTGCGAAAGTGCAGTACAATACCAACATCGTAGATGACGTTGGCGAGAATTAGAAACGGATGGATACAATCTTGGGACTTGCGCGACGGAAGACGCTTACCCTAAGAATGCATAATCTTGTAATCAGAATGTTAAGGGAAACGTTACGCTGGATTTTAACAAAATAAAGGTTATTAACACTTCAGAATTGGTTAGATGGAAAAGAAACGACAACATCTTACGCTAAAACATG